GTGTTTGTTGCACTTTCACAAATAATACGAGAAAAAACTGAGACGTGAGGGGCGTGAGCTTTTTTTGTCAACTTTGTTTGAGTTGTTCGATTGCGGTTTACTTATAAAATATTCGCTTCGCTGAATCTTTTTTGTACACTATATTCTTTATAATTTTCGTTAAATTTCTTATCAAACTAGTAAGCTTCTGGCTTTGATTTGAGGGCCATGAATTATTAATGTATTCCTTATATTTCACTTGATATTTAGCTTAAAACACACTTCACTCTTTCAATTCCCGCACCGTAATTCCATTTTACACGTATTTTTTGAGGTTTTCTGTTTGTGCTATACCTTTTCGGAGTTATATTTTATGCAGAGAGTGGTGTTTTTTGTTTTTTGTGTCTATTTTTTGTACAGACTTTTTCGCATTGTATTCGGGGGATGAGACGCGAAAGGCTCCTTCTGTGTTCGTTGTGTTCCACATGTATCCGACGACTGGAACTCCATGACTGACATTTACATTTTCGCCTCGCCAGGACGAAAGCTTAGCGAGCAGGAGCTTTTTTGGGCAAAGCTCGTGCTTCCGCTTTTCCAGTTGCCAAGTCGGGTTTTTTGAAGTTTCGCTTTTAGTTTGGTGGCCAAGTCGAAAGTCGCGAAACTCTCCGGGCAATTACGGTTATTAGGGTGTAGGGGTTGGGGCAAGGACGAGGGCGGGTTTAAGGACACCGGTTTTATAGAGTTGTCAAATGGCCCCAGGAATGGCCAGTCAAAACATCAAAATTCACTCGCAATTGGCCAAGGGCAATGCAAAAACAACAACGAAGTCGGTTTGGCTTGAAGGGGGCTTTGTTTTGAAAGCGAAAGGCCATATAATGGTTGCACGCCACATCCACATTCAAAGCCAAAGTTGAGTTTCATTTTTGGGGTCGCCTCATCGAGTCAAACATGCAAACACGCACGGGCCAAGGCAAGCAAGGTGAGGTCCTTGTCATTTAACTCACTTGTCGAGTTGACCTTTGTTTGGTTGCTTGTCGTGCGCCAGTGTACAACACCTAATGCCCAACTGCCACGCCTTGAGCTTGATCCATAGCAACTCGTACTTTTGTTACCTATACGTATGTCCCCTCAAACCCTTAAGCCCCTAAGACCCTCAAAAACCCCATATCCGCACTTAGCTCCGAAAACAACCTTAGTCCCAGGTTGGCCATGTGCATGCTTGATGAGGTTATCAAGGCTCGGGGATTATTGAATATTTTCGAATCGATATAGCCTGGGCCACACCGTTAGTTGGCACCTTAATTGGCATCTGAATAAATCATCGGCAATTGTGCAATTAGTTTGACAACCTCAACTGTCCGCTCAAGTCGAAGGATTCTGCGGTCAAAAATAAACTATTTGCATTGCCCGAGTGTTCAAGCCAAGAAATGGGAAGTTCACCTTCGTCGACTGGGGAAATCAATTACTTAAATATTTATATCTGCATGTGGAATGTGGGCATGCTGAAATGCACTTGTCTTTAAATCTGTCAGAGAATAAATATAAAAGGTAAACGAGCAGTTGAACGGATTAAATAATTTTCAGATATGTGAATACAAAGGCATTGGTTATGGCCTGTATTTGTTTAGCCTAGAATTTAATGAACTTTAGTCATTGTTTAATTATTAAATGGATTTCGAAGTCATAATAAACCGAAACTAAATTGGTAAACATGAGTTGCCAAATAATAGCAATTAACATTTTTGAATGGCTGAAGTTGATGGCTTATGAATTTATTTATTTATATGTAAATGGAGCTGTAAATTTAGGAAAGAAAAGTTTATTTATCTCCGTACTAGACGACTCACCCTTGAATAAGTAGAATTCAACCATCCAAAAGAATTTATATTTTAAGTAGAAAAAAACTAAATAAATAATCTAAGCTACTGAAATTAGTCATTCATACTGACTTTCATTTCATTTCAAAGAAACTGAATACAATGTTGTTTCATCTACCTTGCCAAGGCATAGAATTAAATGTAATTACTAAGCCAACCTTCGCCCTTAAGCTGCCACATGAGCTCGACTGGCGTGGTGCACAAACGCATCCAACCAAGTCAAGAATAACTACCACGACGAATGTGGCAACACTCGGGCATTGGAGAGCAGAGTTCAAGTTTCTCTTTGGCCAGAAAAGAACCACAAAAGATTACCATGCGATGAGCTGCAGCTCATCATCTTCACATCCTTTCAATGGGCGCCGCTAAGTCCTTGGGCATATATGTATGCACAAATATGTGTGGAACGTTTCATATTTTTTTGCTCATCTTTTCTTCTCGGTTCTTTTACCTTCTTTTTGGTTTTGTGTTAAATTGTTGCGTTAACCAAGCCAACCAGCTCCGGGGGCAATCCTTGTAAAAAGTTTAGCATAGCAGAAGGCGCACGCAAACATGCTCGCAGCCATTCACACAGAGGCACCACCAACACTGTCGCACGCCTGGCATGCGTTTTTCACATTGTTTCATGCGGTTGAATAAACACAAGCCACACACACACCAGCAAAAGGCATACATATACGTGCATTTTATGATCTACAGAGAAAGGAAAAAGGACCAAAAGCGAAAGAGAGAGAGAGGGAGAGAGAGACATAGACACTTATTCGCTCGCTTGCCTCGACAGGCTTACAAAACAAACATTGCGGCATGTTTTCTGTTTGTACACACTGCGTATACGTACTATGAGGGCCGCACATTTCCTACCTGCGTTTTGTCAGTGCCCAGCAGCACCAACACACTGTCACAGTCCCTTCCACACGAACACATTGCAGTCACGTATGCACATTACTCAACACAACCTGGTCCACCCATTGTGCCACAGCCCTTAACCCTTGTGCCGTCTGCAGATATCCCATTTTCATATAATTTCCAGACTTTAAAATTTCCGGATTAATATATTACACATTTCTTCTTAAGTCAACATTTGTAGTAGAGGAAACTGAACAAAAAATAAAATCTTTGGTATAAGGTGGTTTTAATTCCATTTCCATACTTATTGTATCATAATTAAAATATATATAAAATTAAGTCATCTATTTCTTTGTGTTGAGAAATGATTTTGATTGCTAAGAAAATTAAAAAATATCTGATGTAAGGTCGTTTGTTTTTATTCTATTAAATTTTCAATGGAATTGAAAACCAAGAAATTATAATAGAAAACTCTTATCAAATAGAAAATGCGTTCAGATAAACTTTAAATTTAATTGGAAATATAAATTGACTAAAGGCCAATTACGAAAGAAAGAAAAGTTGTTTCTTTAAATAATGTTTAAGATAAGAACTCAAGGTAAAAAAATGTATTGTTTGTTAGCAATATAATAGATTTTCCTCATTTTGTTCTCCTTCTGGGCGAATTATTCTGAACGGATCAAATTTAAATAGCAAGGTAGAAGTTATTTCTCTTTGGGTGTTAAAAATTGTTGTTTTTTAAATTGATCCACTAAAGCTTAAGACTTAGTCAAAGAAAAACAAAAGATTTAGTTTAACATATTTCCTGACATCCGGTAAAATCCAATTGCCTTTAAGGCTAACAAAAACTTGTAATTTCAGTCACATGAAAGTTTAAAATGTTAATTTGTTGCTTGGGGGTGAGAAACCTGCCATTCAGAAATGTTTGGGTTAAAAGTGAACTAATTTACATAGACCGCATGGTACAATGCGCAGGCGGCCGCATGGAGAAGGTAACAAAAAGATTCATTAGGGCCAATCAGTGCAAAGCGAGTCGTGGCGAAGGACATGCGGAGAGAGCCTGGCCAAAAGCGGTGGGTTGACGGTTGGCTGGCTGTATGGGCTGGTGGGTGAGGGCAAGCCGTGTGTGTAAACGTAAACAGCTCGGGCAGTCCTGGGTCTGTTGTTTGCCTTATAAATACGCACGCTCTACTTTAAACAAAAGCGAAGCCACCCATCCCGATCCCAATCCCCCCATGTACACGTGCCTTGCCTGCCCTTGTTGTGCGTCAGTATGTGCAAAACAAATTTAAACTTTACACCCAAAGTTGATTTTTATGAGGCAAACTTTAAATAATGAAATTATCTGACAAGAACTTGGGAAGAGAGTGGACGGAGGAAGCCAAGAAGATGGCCAAAGTGGGGCCCTAAGCGATAATGAAAGGAAGAGCTAACTGATTGGGCCAATATAAAGTTTTGCATTCGCTTCGAAACCAATCAATGGCGTAATTTATGCCGTTATTTTCTCCAGCCCACTCCCTCACCTCAACACCCAGTCAACCGAACCAGGCCACCCATACTTTCGACCCGTTATCAAATATTTATTTACACTTCAGCTACAATAATTCATTGATGCATCGAGCGCCTGGCACGACACGCTCTCGCTTTGGACTGGTTGGGGTCGCTCCAGAGCTGGCAGGCACGACCCGGCAACGTAAACGTCAGGACTAACCTTTGCCCGATGTCCTTCAAAGGCGCCGTCGCTGTGAAAGCAACAGCTGTGCGCTCTCAGCCAGCGAGCTTCGTTCCCCGAGCTTTCTTCGATATCCCACTTCCAGTTTCGAACTTGGCCCGAAGCCCTTCTTATCAAAGCTTTCGATGGAGATGGTTAGAAAGCGGCTCAAACGAGGGCTGTTCTGGTTTTATTCCTAATTATATTTACTTTCACAAGAAAAATTGTCGATTAGACCAAAATCCATATAGTAAAAATTAATAAAGATTCTCTAAAATATGAGAACGATTCGATTTTGATTATTTCAAAACAAGTGGCATTGGGTATCTCGTATTTATTTTAATATAGCTGGGTTAAAAATTATTGTAGGGGTGCAAAGTAAAATAACTAAAAAATATTTCTTAAAAGCATTCATTCTTGTATTCATTTTGTAATATATTTTTAAAAATATGACTTACCAAATAATTCAATTTTATAAATGCCCTTTATAAATGAGATAGTTTATAATTTTTTAAAACCGTGTGATATTTCTTCATAAATATTTCTGAATATCTTTTTTTAGTATTTTGAAATACAACACAAAAATGAAGAGTGTTTTATATGTGTCTTTCTTATCCTGTATACGTATAAAATATTCAAAGGTATTTTCACAATTTCTTAACTACCAGTACACACTCCAAACAATAAAAACCGACGTAGTATTAAATTTTATATCTTTAACTATTGACACACACAAATTTGATACATATGCGCATTCATAGGCTTTGAAAAAATGTAAGGTAAAAAAATTTATTTTTGTATAAAATAGATTGTTGTTTTTGTATTGTAAACATAAACAATAAAAAAATTGTATTTGCTGTTCAGTTGTTATATTTAAGCTAAATTGAACAATAAAGTTTTTGTGTGAACCAATTTAAAATTTTACAGTAAGTTTAAAATGAAACCTATGAACACATTCATTTCTTTAATATTACAAAATTTACTTTAAGAACTAATCATTTAAGCAACCAATAATCTGTTCATGCTTTCGAGTATGATCCTTAAAAGAGTTGGGCCATGGGTACAGAAATATAACCTATAACACGCAAATTTTTGGCAGTTATCAGTCGTCAAACTCAAATAAAGGTTTGCCATTGGTATCCCAGGTGTTTTTGCATTTTTTGAAGGCACAAACCAAATAAAGTGCTGAAATAGAAAGTGCATTTTAGTAACGAAGTTCGGGCTGCTTTTCGCTGTAGACTTACTTGCTGCTTCCCACTCCGATTTTGAGAGGGTGCCTAACGGCCGCCCGCGCTGTGATCCCTGCAAGTTCCGCAAGTGGGCGAACTGTTCATCGTTTTCGCAACGCTGGGCCTGAACCGACTCTAAGCCGGACATGCGCTGCAAGAGGTGTTTACCGTGGGGCAGACTTTCCTTGTAGTAATCCGCAAATGTGGAGCGCCTTAACAGCTGCAGACCGTACTTCCTGCCCAGCTTGATCAGCGTGGGGAAATGCACCAAGAACTCGGGACAATCGACGACGCCCTCCAGGTGAAACTGATACTTGGCCCCGAAAAAGGGCAGTGGATCTGTTTCACAGTCGAACTCAATGCTGTACACATCGTTGCCAAAGCGCCGGGCATCTGGACCGGCTGCCCTTAACCTTCGGATGATTTCGTAAGCATCTGGCATGGTGGCTATGAAGAAACCTCCCGGTTTCAGGCACTCCGCTGCATTTCGCATCATGCAATCCGCCTGCGCCATGGACTCAAAACAATAGTGAAAGGCAAACTGGCAGGACACGAGATTCAGCTGCAGCGAGGGGTCCTTATACCTTTCCCGCAGGCGTACTAACGTGGAGTCGCAGGCAAAGAACTCCGCGGTGAACTTATTGGCGAACTTGGACTTTTCGGCTCGCTGCAGGATGTCCTGATACCGCCGCTGGCACTGCTCCACGGACACCTCGGCGATGTCTGTGCAGATGAGGTGCGAAATGGACGCTTTCTCCCATTTCAGGAGGTCACCGCCCTTTCCGCAGCACATGTCCAGAACCCTCAAAGCATCGCCCATGCGTTTCTGCTGCTTGATCTGCGACATGTACTCGTTAATCAGCTGGCTCTTGATCCAGTTGTTGAAGTTGCGCATGAAGAAGATCTTCGACTTCTGGCGATCCTTGCGGCCCGCCTCCTTCAGCTCGTTGTAGTGGTTGGCCACCACATGTGTGTTGGCCGCTCCTCCAGCAGTTTCCGCTTCCTGCTCCTCCTCATCATCGTTACCACCACTTGCTTCACCTTTCCCGCCCGGCTCATCGTAGAACTCCTGGCCTGGTTTACTGACAGCAGATGTTCCCTGAGCCCGGGAAGATGTGGATTCTCCTAGGCCTTCGCTCTCCTCGTCGTCCGACAGACTAACTGCCTTGTGCGCCCGGGCGAATTGCTCGTCTGCTGCATTTTGTTCGTAATTTAGGCTCATTCTTTAATTCTTATTTTTCTGTCGCTGCTCATCGATGTTATCGGGTCAGCTAGAGATGGACACTGCAAGCGTTATCGCTCGTTACAGTGATTAGCCGAGAAACTATTAAAAGGAAAATAAAATAAACTTCTTAAATTAATCAATTTAAATCTGGAAAAGAAGGACCCCACCTTGACCCTTGGGTTAAATAAGTCGTTTACAAATTTGATGGGTCGTTAAATAGATAAAAATATATTTCCGATGTCACAGTTTTTTAGTAGGTAGCCATCTCTGTGCTCACGATTGTTAACAGTAGAGTGCTGTTAATTGTTAACAGCAATGCAATCAGCTGTTGACAACTCGTGCGTTCGCTAACATAAGAAACCTTTAAATGCGGTTGCTTGGAACTCTCTACAAATTTAGTAGATTACTGAATCGTACCCTCATCCGGGATTTCCCCAAACGCAGCATGGCCTGCAGCAGATTCGAGTACGTTAAATCCTTCGAACAGGACGACAGCATATTGCCCAACGTGTGGATAGTCATACGAATCGATGGCAAAAAATTTCACAAGTTCTCAAAGACGCACGACTTTGAAAAGCCCAACGATGAGAATGGTAGTAAAAGGGTTTTGATTTTAAATTCTGGAATTAACTATTTGAATTTCCACCTTTAGCTCTCAATGTGATGAATGCGGCCGCCACGGCAGTGTTGCAAGAGTTTCGGGACGTGGTCCTGGCTTATGGCCAGAGCGATGAGTACTCCTTTGTATTCCGCAAGGAGACGACTGCCTTCAAGCGACGCTCTGCCAAGTTGCTCACCTACGTCACCAGTTTGTTTTCCACGAGCTATGTGATGCACTGGTCCAAGTGGATGAACCTACCCTTGGCTTACGCTCCCTGCTTTGACGGGCGAGTGGTCCTGTATCCTTCGGAGCAGAACCTTAAGGACTATCTCAGCTGGCGACAAGCCGATGTCCATGTCAACAATCTGTACAACACTGCATTTTGGAAACTGGTTTTGGAAAAAGGTCTGACGAACCAGGAAGCAGAGGCGAAACTGCGAGGAACCTTTTCGGCGGACAAGAACGAGTTGCTGTTCCAGGAGTTTGGCATAAACTACAATAATCTACCCGCTATGTACAGAAAGGGAACGATCCTGCTCAGGAAGCGGGTAATAGTGGGCGAGAAGAGCAGACAGGCTATAGTGCCGCTGCACGAGGACCTCATATCCTCGCATTTCTGGAAGCAGCACACGGAGATCTTGGGAAAATATGTGCCGGGCACTTACGATGCCCCAGTGCCATTGCCTAGATTGGTGGAGTTGCAACTAAATGAGAAGCAGGTAAGCGAGGAGGCGGAGGAGCCACAAAATGAAGCCCGGATTAGCTGATAGTTAAAGTTTATGACAATATATTTTAAGTTTTAAATTACGAAGTGTTTTTGTGGGTGAAAAGACAGGGCCTGATTTCCACGCAATTCTGGAATCTGCTGATCTTGGATAGAAATTGGAGGTCCTCTGAATCCGGCCAAGAATAGCTGGTTGCTGACTTTTCAACTTATGGCATATATTTTAAGATTAAAACTACATTAGGCTCATAGAAAGCCAAACTTTCTTACTAGTAGTCGTCATCGTCCTCGTCCTCGTCATCTTCACTGGGCTTACTAGCAATTGAGCCGTCGACCAGCGGCGGTCGCTGCACCATGGCCGCTGCCTGCATGCTCATCCACTGCTGCTGCTCCTCGCGTGCCTGTTCCTCGCGTGCCTTGGCGAACAGCTCTTGTTGCTGGCGCAGAAGCTCCTCTTCTGGGATGCCCAGGTTCTCCAGGCGTGTGCTCTGGCGCCTTCGCTTGGCGGCCACCTCCTTGCAGTCGTGCAGCACAGCCTCCGCCTCTTGCTTGTAGTCATGGAAACCCAAACGCTCCAGCGCCTCCAGGACGTGCTCCGCGTTGATCGTCTTCTTGTTGCGCATGTTGCACACCTCGTTGGCCTCCGAACTAATTAGGTGGATGAACTCGGAGCAGCAATTGAGAATCAGCTCGCGACTCTCGTTGGCCACCCGCACCGTGGGCACCAGTTCCTTGATGATCTTGTTGATGCTGGCCCTCGGCAGAGTCAGCTCGTCGTCCTCGGCACTGGGCGGCAGCAGTTCCTCCTGCGGATTCGACATGGCGTCCTGGTCTGGCCAAACGTAAACAAACGTGGGAGAAGTTGTTTTCCTCGCAACTTTGCGGTGGTATGGTATCCAACAGTGTTGCCAGATGAAAATTTTGCTTTCTCCCTAAAAAATCTCAAACAGGCGATATTTCCCCCTAAAAAATCCAGTTTTCCCCCTAAATTAAAAAAATCAGTTAATTTCGAACTTATACAATAAAACAAGAAAACGATATCGAATTTTAAGAGATCACCTCGAGAACTTCATTTGAGAAATTGGTCTTGTACACTTCCTCGCTATTGAATAGCTTATACATTTGAGGGGATGGTTCAAAGCTATTGCAATTGTTTGGTAAGGTTAATCTTATTCGAAGAAGGATGCTGCTTTCGGTGCAAAAACACATATTTTTTCAAGGCATTTTGTGTTCTTAGGAAATCGTACTTGGAATTCGTCCGTGAGTTTAATCAAGCAGTCCCTGCATCGTTTTTTTATTATGTATATCAAGTGGTTCCCAGAAACCGCCAGCATCAGCTGGTAACACTTGTACTCGTGACCATTATTTTTTGATATTTTTGCCATATTTAGGTTGTTTTTATGCGTGGCAATATTTTACGAAATCACATATTCTTGTGTTTTTTTCAAAACATTTGGGTAATACAATTTCCAAAAAAACCCCTAAACTTTCCCCCTAAAAATTGCTCCCCCTAAAATTCCCCCTAGTACGTCAAAAAACCCCTAAATCTAGGGGGAAAACCCCTGATCTGGGAACACTGGTATCCAATATGTGGGTGGTAGAGTGACCGTGTGGGTGGATCTATGGTATATTTGAAAAACAGCGTTTGAAGTTTGGTATTTTTCTGAAAGCCAGAAGGAATATTTAAGCGGTCACTTTAAAAAAATAAAACAATACAATCATACATTTTTAGCTTATTTATTAAATCGCCTCTGAAAAATGGGGGACTACGACTCAGATGATGAGAAATCCCAAGTGGAGAAGCTGCGGTATGCGAAAGTGCCCCGCGGTATGTTCGTTAGCGGCTGGGACGATGATGCCGACGAACTGATCGAGGAGGACAAGAACCCACAATGTGAGTGTTTTATGCTTTGATGTGAAGGATTCAATTAAGTGGACATATGTTTTTCCCACCATTTAGCTAGCATCGAACGCATGATCCTTTGGGCAGTGAACGAGAACCGCATCAGCGAGGTGCGCGAGATCCTGCGCCTGGATGCAGACACTGTAAACTCAAAGGACAACGATGGATACACGCCTCTGCATCGAGCGGCCTATAATAACTTTGTGGACATGGCCAAGTTGCTTCTGCAGTACCGTGCAAATCCCAATGCACGCACGGAACTTGGATGGACACCGCTGCACTCCGCTTGCAAGTGGAATAACGCTGACTGTGCCCATTTACTTCTGCAGTTTGGAGCCGATGTAAACGCAGAGTCAGAGGGCAAGCAGACGCCTCTCCACATCACCGCCACCGTGTCCAACTGCCGGAATACGGCCACAGTGTTGTTGTTAGACCGTAATATACTGCCCCGCAAAGAGAATAACTCAGAGGAACTGGCATCGGTGATCGCCCGGCGCACCGGCATGAGCTTCCCCATCTTTGAGTCGGGCGACGAGGCCTACGACTGCGAAACGGGACTGATAGATTAACCATTAAACAGCCAAGCAATGTGCATACTTATAGAATACCTAGTATATGTTTATTTCATAAATAATCTTTTAAATCGGGCAGGTTCCGGTTTTCACTTCGTGGAATTGGGAGATACCTTCCAAGCATTTCGTGTGAGTATTAGAACCTCCTGCAAGTGTAATGAAAATAAGCATTGAGCTTTTTACCATTTTTGTTTAATCACAAATTGAACTGGAGTTTCCAAACTTTAAATAATTTAAGTAAATAAACTTCGAAGTATAGTTATACGAACTATCTAGTACCTATAATTTTCAACTGGCGGGTGCCGGAGTGCGTACGAAATGTTCGTAGAATGACTTTGTGTAGTTGATCATCTCGTCTTGCATGGCGGCTGGCACAAAGTACGGATTTCCCTGGCCACCCTCGATGGTTCCCCTAGCCGTGTAGCGCATGTAGCTGGACACAGTTGTCTCCGGAGGCAGCACAGCCCCATCCTCAATCACACAGCAGTCTTTTAAAACGCAACGACGGCCCTGAAAATTGGAAAAGATTATAAATTACAGCACAGAAAGTTAATCGATATATGATTATATTATCAGACTGAAAACATTAAAAACAGTAGAACTTTAAACTTGAGTTATGGAACTAATTCTCTAATGTCAATTAAACAGGTACAATGTAATGCTATAACAGTTTGTGTTATGGAAGTTCTACTGTGCGTTTTCCTTTTTTCTGTTCAGATCTTAAATAATATAGCTTACAATAATGGCATTCTTGCCGATGTAAACACAGGATCCAATTGTGGCCGCCGAGACGACGGCTCCTTCGCCCACAAAGACATGATCGCCGATGTGCATGGGGAAAAAGGCGATGCCCTTGCTGAACTGTTTGTACGGTGGTCGAATCACGGAATCCTTGCCGATCACACAGTATCTCCCCGTCCGGACGTTGGCCAAGTCACCTCTTATAATAGCTCCGCTCTGGACGATCACCTTGCCATTAAGCACAATGTTTTGGGATCCACAGAGCACCGTATGTCGACTGACTTTGTTTCCGGATGCCTGTAAACAAAATAATTTTGGGCATGATGAGGTCATCCAATCTTATGGAAAAGCCAAATTCCGGTCTGGAACCCTGCCAATACTTGCCGTCTCCACGTATTCGTCTTTACTGTAGTAGGTATCCGCGATTTCCATGGTCAAACAGCAGTTTTATAAACTATTTTCCTAAAATATATAAAATTGCAATTGGCCAATGTTTTGCCATAGGGATGGAACAAAAATCAGAGACTTTCGACTTAATCGATTATTTTCTTACCAATCGAACTATCACAGACTCAAACCTTTTCAGTAAAATCTAGCATGTTTACCAACACTTCTGATTTAAGACCGCCAAAATTAAAATCTTATTAATAACGTATTTCAGCATTTTGATTTTCCATTACAAAGGAATGTATTTTTCATTAAATCTAATTAATAATTAGACGCACGCGAGGTTTTTCAATTACAACTGCCTTCGCGGGTGCATGGAAAATGCAGGTGTTTAGCCCACGATGACCCTGAACTTTTAGGCATACGTAAATGCAGTAATCACGATGCAGATTAGACAGCTGCTCTTCACATATTTAAATCCGCTGGCAGAATGAAAATGTGAATAATTGGGCTCACAGCTGGTGGGCCGAAACGCAGGCTAACCCAACCTCCTCCCAGCGGCGCAGTGACCTTCCGAAAATTTAAACTTCCCGCTGTCCGACGCTCCAACGATGTTCCAATTAATGCTCTTTAATAATCGCAACCCAGCCCCGTGGTTAACCTTCATGGGGCACGCTCGAATGCCTCACGAGGCGGCGGCAACTCTAGCTAATCATAGTAGCATTTTAATTTGTTTATGTTTGCCTATTTGCGAGTCTATTTTCTTTGTTTGGTTCTCTGCCTTTTGCAGAATTCGGATTTTCAATATGGTAATCCATTATGTTTTATCCATTTATGATTTGATTATGGTGCCAGAATGTAAATGATATAAAACTTTTGGATTTTTTTTTTTTTAGAAATGCCAAAAGCCTAAGGAAATTGTTTTATTACTTATACATTGTATTTTCCCCACCTGACCTTCTTGACTTGAACTATCTGAACTTTGCCATTAATGCTGTTCTATGCCAATTAATTGCAAACAATTGTGCCAGTCCATTGGCTGCTTTGAAGAATCCGCCAAAAGCAAAGAACAGAAATCGTTTAACCTTCAGTATGAAAAACCGCATCGAAATCTATTAATCTGTTCGTGTTTGCACTTTTGAACTTAAGGTTAATAAACTTGAACTTGAATAATGTTTGGAAATTAATTGAGTTGTGTACACAAACAACTCTCAAATCGGTTGATTAAACAAATGATTCGAATTTGTTTCATTTTGGTTCTATAAATTATATGTCTATTGTTGAATGTGATTTTCAGCAAGGGGAGGTAAAGAGACATTGGTTATTAATTAAGTTGTTTTTGTTTATTTTTTTAAGGCAGGTAAAGTCAGTTATATAATGTTTATGTTTAAGGTTAACATTTAAAATTATTTATTAACCTAATATAGGTTTTTAGTAATTATCTTAATTTTGTAATCACAATTAATCTTTGAATATACTATTTTGGGAATTATCTAGAAGTTCTTCATATCATTTATTGTTTTAATGTCCGTTCTAATAAATAATAATACAAAATATAAGCTATTTGATGTAACCTTTTGTTTTTTTTCCATTGGCTTAACTTCTGTAACTTTCTCTACCTTTATTAGAAGTCCAAGGCCGACAAAGTCTTGACTTCATAGAACGTGTAGCCAAGTGTTTGCCTTACACTGATCCAACAACGCTCGATGAAACTCTTCTGCCACAATTCGGCCTTGACGAACCATGAAGGGGGGACGGGGCCGCGAGCTATGTAAATATTTACAATAGCCAACTCATCCGCGACCTTGATAATTGGTTATTGATGTATGAAGTGGCTGTTGTTGGAAATTCATTATTAAATGGCCAGCTAATCAAGATCAAGAAACACGCACTCCGAATATCCGCCTCTGCCCTTCCCACCGATCCAAAACAATCGCTCACGATCGAATTGATCTTGATGCTTTATGGCTTTAACCTTTTTTAATTGCTTTCTGCGAGAGAAAACCAGCGGCACTGGATAACATAATTAATAAATGGAAATTAAGTTGAAACTAAAACAATGCCAGTGCTATCCAGTTCGACTTGAAGTCGGAGTCATGTCATGTTTAATTGAATAATTGCAAATAGTTTACATATATGCGATATGGCCAAGAACAGCAAAGTTATAATAATGCAACAATGAAGGAGAAACGACAAATGAAATTAATTGCAATTAGCAAAATTGAGAAAATATTTATTGAATTTATTGCGGACAAGGTGAGGTGGAGTAAAAGAGGGAGACAGAGAATGTTGCATAATATTTTCACTTTTAGCATGGAGGCCCCCCAGTTGCCCGACAAAAAAAATCAACACTCAACAGCGGCAAGTGAAACAAGTTTTTTGTTCAAGTCTTTTGTTTCAATCGATAAAATGTATCTGTAATTGACAATTCGTAGATAAATGCCTACGTTTGTGTGTACATGTGTAGTTACATATGTATGCGCTGATGTTCGGATTGACAGAACAAAGGTGACTATCAGATTCTCGGAATGTGAGCATTATACGAATAATTCAAGGATCTTTTGAGTATGCAAGTTGTTGTCCATAAATGGCCGCTCAAGTTTGAGTCCCACAGAAAATCACTCTTCCGATAAATTAATTTTTAAATTTAAATATTATTTAAGGAATACGCTTTTTATCATTTTGTTAAGTTCTGTAAATTTTAAAATGTATAAAAATCTAGAATTTAATTATTTAATATCCTCTTTGATTAAGGAAAAGTAGTTTTAATCATGCTTAAACAATACATACATTAAAGCAAATATTTTAGAGAATATTTTTACTTGAAATCCAATTTCTCTTCAATAATAATTCATTAGATTTAAACTTTAAAAGCTTATGCTTGTGGCTTATATCTATAATGTATGTTTTTTATAAAATTATTTACTGTTTTCAATAAATAAGTTTTTAAAAACTTATTGATTCCCGTAATTGAGAGAAATTTAAATTTAGAAAAAAAAATGTGGCTTAAAATATTACGCTTGAACCTTACAACTATTACTATCTTGTCCATATTCGGTGTGTTTCCCCGCCATTCGGCCAAACACTTTTCGGCTGCGACTAATTACAGTCATTACAATACTATATGGCGACCAAATGGTTTCCTCATGTCAAGATCCCAACGCGAAACGAGTAGCCCGCGATTAGCTATGAAGTTGGAGCGACTCGCGCACCGAGAGCTCAGTTCAAAAGCCGAGTTCAAGAACTAACTAACTAACGATTGTCTGACAATGACAGTAGCTGAACGGTTATGAGAGGGGGTGTTCGTGGAGGTTTTCTTAACTTGACGGAGTTTGCCAATGTTTGAGCCAAGTGCGGTCAAACAAATAGCAATGAACAAGTTGTGTGAATCAAGCAAATGAATGCGCTTCTTATGTGGCGAATATTTATAATACAAATTGTAGGTTTTCATTTCCTCACCCTCAACCCCTTTTGATATGCTTGGATGGGCGTGGCACGCAGCAATTTGTTGTTGTGCCCCCAAAACGACCTCAAATAGCCAAGTTGTGCTAATTAAAACATTAACTCTGCCCCGAGGCTGAATTCGCATTAAATAACGATTGCCGTTGTGTTTGTTGCTGTTTCTTGCCAAAATCGATCAAAATCAAATTTCAAGTGGCCCCCGTTTGGTACATGAAAAAATCAAAACCAGTAGAGAGTTAACTGTCAAAAAACCAACGCACGACAACGGCAGCAACAACGTTGCTGACAACAGCAACTACAGTGTGGTACATAGTTGTAGACAACATTGTTGAGCTAATCACATTTTTCTGGGGACAAGAAAACTGAATGTATGACATAAACCCAAAAAAGTGATCAAAGAACATTTTATAACAAAGTGTATTATTTGGAGATGCTTCTTTGTTTATTTTAGATAATTAAAGCATTATAAAAATTATAATTAATGCCTTTATACTTATAATTTTTTAAGGGTCCTTAATTTATTGTAATTATGTTGCGCTTATTACTAATAAAAATAAACTAAAAAAATATGAATAATACCTCATAGAGATATCCAAAATATATGTTTCGCGCTGTATTTCCAAAAAGCTTATTGGTTTTTCGCTCTTGCATTGTTCCAATTTTGATTGCTCTATTGGG